TACTACTATATTAAGCCTCAGATAGAATGTATGAGGTCTAGGAAGGTTAGGTTAGTTCAGTTTGTCTTTACAACATAAATAGAAAATCATTTTTGGTTTGTCCAAATTCAATAGTACTGCATCTATTTCTACTTTCTAATTGTGTTGCACATCGGTATATGTACTATGGTCCACATCATTACTATAAGTACAGTACTGTACTACAAAAACAGGAAGACGGGCTGGTATACCAGAGTGCATCTTAACAACATACAACACATTTCTTTCATCTGATGCCTATGTTCACCTGGGAGTTACACAATTGTTGTGAATTGCATTCTAGCTAAGGTCAATAGTTGGCCAAGGTGGCACCTTGATAAGCCCAACTATAGGCTTTCTGTTCCCGACAATATGAAACCATAACCTCGTTCATCCACTACCACTGGGGGCCTGATAGCCGAATGGACAGTGCTCTGAACTCGTAATTCTAGGGTCCGGGTTCGATCCCCGGTGATGGCAAACAAAATGGGCAGTTTCTTTCATCCTGATGCTCATGTTACCCAGCAGTAAATAGGTACCTGGGAGTTAGACAGCTGTTGCAGGCTGCTTCCTGGGGGAGGGAGGGAGTGTGTGTGGAAAAAATAATAGGAGTTAGTAACAGTTGGTTGATTGACAGTCGAGAGGCAGGCCGAAAGAGCAGAGCTCAACCTCCACAAGCACAACTAGGTGAATACTTTAACCACAGGACGAGGCCTCTGACCTTTCCCTAAGACAGATTAGGGAAGATGTGTTAAAAGGTAACTGAAGGCTGCCAACTTATGAAAAAACTTGTCACAACTCTAGATAAAGAGTCGGCAGCCTTCAAGTACTGCACTGCACCTTCAACACAACTTCCCAAAGTTTGAGGGAATACTTTGAATAGCCATTTTCTATTCTGTGGAGCCATAAGAAAAAACACTAACAAAGAACACTCAAAAGGAAGGAAGAATTGATTGCAACAAACTGAGGTGGGCAGTGGGGTTGCTACACAAATCATTATTAGGTAATAAAATAACCTAAAATTGTAAGCCTTTATTTACATATTCCCAGAAAAATAAATTGAAAGTGCAAAAACTGCAAAAATAGTTTCCTTGCTTCTATTATCGAAAAAAGTATACAGTACTATGATCTACAATGGACAGAACAACTGTTAAAATGTGAGATTCCTACACTAGATCAAACAATTTAATAGCAAATGGAATGAATGCAGGATGCTACTTTAACACAACCCACCTCCATTTTCCAATTAGTATTCATAAACTCATTATGTAAACATATAGTTCAGAGATGTATTTGTACATCAAGTTTATACAACTTAATCTGGAACCATGGCTCCATTTTCTGAACAGACCCGCAATTATGTACAGTAAACTTTTGTTTATCAGTAATACATTTACTTACCACAAAATAATATCTAATCTGATGCCCTGGACAAATAGATGGCCTGTTAAATATGAACTTGAGCACATCATCTGGTAATGAAATCTTAATTTAACAAGAACAATTAATGAGTAATTTAAGTCAATTATAAAGAGAGAGTGCTAAGCCTTTATGACTATAACATTTGGAAGGGATATGAGGATATTCTTACTAAGTGATTCAAAGAACAAGAATCTTAGTCTGTTATTCTCTGCAATATACATTATAACATGGCTGAAAATAAATAACCCAACCACCCACACACATGACATGAAAGTGATAACATTGCAGTTTCCCCAGAACCGTTATCGTTGTAACAGCAACAGTGGGCGAGGCAGCCAACATAAGGCAAAAGGGAAGGTGAGGTAAAAAGCAGTGAGGGATAAATGGAAACATAAAACATGAAAACAAAAGCAGAAAAGGTAAGAAGAAGAACACAAAAGGAATAGAGGTGAGATAAGACAGAGAACAAAAGATACAAACAAATAAGAAGAGAAGAAATAGGAGGACACAGGGGCAGATATCTTATTCAGATTACACTTGCTAAGATGATTAGAGAACTTAATTTATGTACCAAGAAAGGCAAGAGTCAACAGCAACAAAGCTAGGACTAAGAGTCATTTCATCACTTCCATTTCATGTCTTGGTTGGGTTATTAATGTATATTATTATAAATATAAAAATTCATGCACTGGTGACTTATCCTCATGTCCACAGTGTCAGCAACTTTCACAAATAAGATTATTTTACAGAAACATTTAAACTATTTAAACATTTCAACAAAAATCATCAATTGAAAAATAATTACACTTTATAGCTAAAATATTAAATATTGTACTACAATACACAAACTGGTAGAAAATGCAACATGCAAAGTTATTTACTAATAAAGAAATCTCCTGTGAAGAACCATCATTCTAATTTTATATGGAAGTCCTATAATAGTATACAGGTTAGCACTTGCTATGCACAAGTTTGGAACACACAAAATTCACTCGACACACTGTAGATATCAAACACAAAAATTGGAAAAGCAACACATGGTATTTGTTTTCTGTAATTTGGCAAGAGGCATTTATGTCTTTTTTTGCATCATGGCGTCTCGCACACGTTTGTGTCGCCTGCCACATCCAAACATGCGACAACATTGATATGAAGGGTAAGTAAGTAATTATCAAAAGATGGCACCAAACCGGGAAGGTTATGTAGCACCATCAAATGTGCTGAATAATCAAAGAGCGCTAAATATCATCAAGGATGCCAATGCGAGAACAGAAATGCATAAGGCGAACGATATCAAAAGTATCCAATACTTTTAGATACTTTTGGAACGATATCACCAAGAATTCTATCAAGGGACAAGCGATTGTGAGGTAAGGTCGGAAACCAAGACACACGCTCATCCTGAAAGTCAGGACAGTCAACAAGGATATGCACGACTGTAAGAGGAACAATGCAATTTGGACAATAAGGAGAAGGGCGGTGCTTCATTAAGTGACTGTGAGTTAAGCGTATATGGCCAATACGCAACCTCGCCACAGCTGTTTCCCATTGCCGGTTACGGTGGTAGGAGGAAGGTCATGAGGACACACTACTCTTAAGAGTACGCAGTTTGTTACCAGTAACAGAAGACCAACAATCCTGCCAACGGATAAGGATGGAGGAATGAATAACTGGGTAAAAGTTGGAATAAGGAATATCTTTACGGGAGATGGGACAAGAGCGAACAGCTTCCCTAGCAGCAGCGTCCACACACTCATTTAAAGAGACACCAACATGGCTGGGAACCCAGCTAAACTTAACTGACTTAAATTTACTGGAAGTAAGAAACAGCCAATGTTGAATCTCAATGACCACTGGATGGACCAGATTAATGGACCCGAGAATCATGAGAGCACTATGAGTTAACAACAACCACGAAGGAAGATTGACAACGAGAAAGCAGGAGACGAAGAGCATAAAGAATAGCATAAAGTTCTGCTGTGAAGATGTTACTCTCTGGAGGTAGGTAACACACATAAGTGTGGTCAGGAAAAACAACAGAGTAGCCTACACCATCCGCAGACTTGGACCCATCGGTGAAGATGGAAACGGAGCGGGAGTGCAAAGAAATATGCTCAAGGAAAAGGCGTTTCAGAACCGAAGGAGGGGTAAAAGCTTTAGTGATGCGGGTCAAAGATGTACAAAACTTCGGAAGGGGACTCTCACAGGGGCAAAGAAGGAACAATACAAGGAGAAATATTAGAAATACGAATTTAAAGAAAATCCTGTAAGCGAGATAACCGGATAGAAAAAGGGAGGTGGTGAAGAGGAACAGGAACTACAGGAGGAGTAAAAGTTAAAGCACGACAGAGGCAAAAGGAAGGATGTTGCAAGAACCGTGCAAAATAGCGAAGACAGTAGCGATCACGGCAGTCCTGGAGAGATAGGAAGTCAGTGTCAACATACAAGCTGAGGACGGGAATCGAACAAAAGGCATCAGAGTTGAGGCGCATCCCAGTATGGTGCAAAGCATCAAGACGGCGAAGAGTGGAAGGAGAAGCAGACAAACGAGTAAGCAGGGCAACCATAATCGAGTTTAGACAGGACGAGATAGGAATGTAAAGCGAGGAGAGTGCGCCTATCCACTCCTCAAGAAGTATGGGACAAAACCTTAAGGAGGGTAGGGCCTGAGAGCATTCAACTCGGAGGTAAGAGATATGGGGCGATCAAGACAAACGAGTGTCAAAGATTAATCCCAAAAGCTTAACGGAATCCTTGTACACAAGGAGATGACCATAAAGTGACAAAGAGGGACAAAGAACGACATGCTTCCAAGTAAAAGTCATAGCACAAATCTTAGACATAGAGAACCTGAAGCCATGATCAGTGGCCCAAGACGACACAGCATCAATCACAAGTTGAAGCCGCTGTTGAAGGAGAAGAAAATCATCACCCCTGAAAGCAAAGCGTAAAATCATCAACATAGAAAGCGGAGAAGACACCAGAAGGAAGAGAGGGAAAAAACCCATTGAGGGCAACCAGAAAAAGAGTAGTGCTCAGAACACTACCCTGGGGCACACCCTCGTATCGCTGAAAAGAGGCAGAAAGAGTGGTGCCAAGCCTCACTCGAAAGGAACAACGAGAGAGGAAGCTTAGGAGAAGGAGAGGGAGATTACCACGAAGGCCAAAAGAATTAAGTTGGGACAGAATATGATATCGCCAGGTGGTGTCGTAAGCCTTTTCCAGGTCAAAAAGGACGGCAACAACGGAAGTCTTCGCAGCAAAAGCAGTACGAATATAGACCTCCAAGTTCACCAGGACATCTGTTGTGCACTTGCACTTGTGAAAACCAAACTGAGAAGGGGAGAGGTGGTGATAGTGTTCTAAGATAAGAACCACATCAGACGAATGTTAACCATATGTTCAAAGAGTTTGCAGACAACTTGTGAGGGCAATAGGGTGGAAGTCCTGAGGGAATGTCCCAAGAGACCCTGGTTTCCGAACAGTGAGGACAACGGCATCAAGCCAGTCCTCAGGGACTGACAACTCCCAGACCCGATTATACAGACTCAGTAAATACTGAGACGTGCACAGAGGGAAATGGTGAAGCATCTCATAATGAATGCCATCGGAGCCCGCCGCCGTAGAACCGCAGAGGGCCAGGGCAGACTGAAGTTCAGAGAGAAGGGATCATTATAGGGAAGTCTGAGATGGGTGCAGAAATCTCAAGGATGAGATTCAAGAACAGGTTTACGAGAAGGAAAGATTGAGGAAGATGAGAACCAGAGCTAACAGAAGTGGGAACCCAGTTCAGTCGCAACCTGCAACGGGTCCGCCACAAAAGTACCATGGAGGTGAAGGACCGGCGAGACATCGGGAACGAACTTACCCACTATCTTGGGGACATGCTTCCATATTTGTGTCAAAGGAGTTTTGGACGTAATGGTGGAGATATAAAGGGTAATGTTTATGCTCGTATTTACATCATTGGTGAGTGAAAAACCCAGCCATATACTTTACAGCACAATATGTATGTCACTTGGAAGCTGCAGGAATACTTAGCCATAATTTTAAGATGGGAATTTTACTTATGAGGAATAACAAAATTTGATAAGTTTAGATTTAGAAAAGATTTGGGTAAATACACATTTGGAGACTGTGTATTTACCCAAAGTAAATAGCTGATTTCTGGAATAAATTACTGGGTAATATAATAGATGTTGGTTCTGTTGATTATTTCAAGTGTAGGTTAGACATACTGTACTGCATAGCTTTGATGAGCCACTAGGCCTTCTGTAGCTCCCTTAATGTTTATGTTCTAATAAAAGGGTAATTTTAGGTTTTTAATTCTTTTTCTCATGTAAATACAATACAAATTTATTTTGAAATTTGAATGAATTATCGTATGGCAAAAATATCTTTCATGCATAATAGGGGCAGACTGTGTTTATTCAATTATTCTTGCAACTGAAATTCTCTTTGTGAATTGCATCTTCAAACATATGATTACAATCTGTAGCATAACTGTTAATTTCTGCATATAAAATAGAAAACATCATCTGAAAGGATAATCTCAAATAATCGATGCTGGTACAGTACTGTATAATAATTATCACAGTTAATTTTACCTTCATAAATTCTATATACAGTATTTTTGTAACAGCAGTTTCTCAAAACAACAAAATATCAGACCACGAATCTGAAGTGTAAAAATAGAAGTACAAGTACATTATGTTATATGTTCACTCTGGGTTTATGTAACTGCAGAATATGCCATAGTATTTGTGACTAAAAATGTTGAGATACAGTATTAAGAGTTATAGACAACTCGGCGATTACACGAAGTCATAACCAAGTTACTGGAGCGCAATTGGAGTGTGGTTTAAGGGTTAAGCCCTTCTGGAGGTCAGCAAAAGTAATAACAAAAAATGAACAATGACAGAAATTAAAAATACATAAACAATGCATATTTCAGTTAGTTAGTGCTGGAGAATTGTGTAGATTTTAGGTGTACAATCTGGGGGAAAAAATAAGTAATTATCAAATGAGGGCATCAAGCCTGGGAAACTATTTTTTGGAAAAAGTAAGTCAGCTAGCACTGATAAAGAGAAAGTTAAAACATAAATAAGGACGGACTGGGTAAAGTATATAAAAATAGTATTATATTATACTGTATATGACAGAATTAAGTTATTTTGCCTCAGAAATGGTGAGGACTGTGTTAAGAGGCCTTATATGTAAAAAAATGGTATTACATTATACTGTATATATTAAGGAATCAAGTTATTTTGAATTTGAAGTGGTAAGAATATGTACAAGATTCCAAGTCTTGCACGTATGTGGTATAAATCTTATTAGATGTGTGAGGTAAATATTATGAGATATGAATAGCAATGCTGGAAAAAATCCACTCAATGCAATTTGAGAGTTACCATCAAATCCAAATACTGTATGTGGAATGAAGCTTTCCAGCCATGGTGAGACAACATCAAAACTAAGGAAAGAGAACTACGCCGAGTCTGCTATATAAATTGAATCCATAAAAATGCAACCACGCAATATTTCTAGACAAAAATATCATACCTTATTTACAAAAATATCTTATTGTATTTTCCCTGGTTCATTACACATATACGATAATAAAATGATTGAAAATGTCTTTAGAACATTACACGTAGGAATACAATTTAAACAATTACAAAATATACGAGCAACATCACTGAACTCGGACAAGACAATTAAATAGTCACGTTTCCTAAAAGCCCTATCTATCTATATTATATACAACTTTATCACAACATATCCTTTTTCTTCAGTAATACACAAATATTCAACCCACTGGTTATCAAAATTCCTTTTTAAAACATTAAATTCTAGTGTATTGTACGTAATATAAATTCTGGCTGACAACAGTTAACCTTTAACAGTTCTAAGAGCGTTAACATAGATGACATGTTCATGATGACACATGTAGTTAAAATGTCTAATAACAATATTTACAAGTTCCTAACTTAATACACTTGATATACACTCACTAAAGTAGTTCCTCAAAATTTATGCAGTGCAGCAATCAGCCATTATAAAAAAGGACTAATCATTAAGTAAATGCCATCAATTATATAGTGTCCATGAGGGAAATAATAGCATACATTTACAAATTTAGAGCATTAAATTAATGGAGGCTTTATTCATCACAGAGATGAGATTCAGCTGTGTACAGCATACTCTAAATGCAAACAAATGGGAATTGCAGTGCACTACAAAAGCAGCCTTATATGTTATATTTCTTCTTTGGCATGCAGTATTTATAAAAACCAGTAAGAACATAAATGAAAAGAAAATTGAAGATGATATATTGAATAACTACTGAAACTTTTAGGGTAAATTAATATTCTCTTAACCAGTGAGAACCTGAATTTAACTAATACAAAACTTTTATATTCAAAAATAGCAAGCCAGCTAAAAAATTTAATTACCAGACTGAACATACTGGTTTTAAAATCATTAAGAAGATCTTAATAAACTTGCCAAATGGGATGTTTCATCACTGAGATCCATGTACAGTACCTTGGAAGACTTTCAACAAAGATTCAACAAGTTACATTAATAAAAAAACTTTCAATTATTAACATGTATAACAAAATTATCAATAAAAGTTCCAATCATATTAACTATCTTGTTGGACAGAGAAATATATAATATTTCTTTTTATTACTTGTGACTGACAATATCATTTACGGAATGTTAACATACATGAATGTGTGTGAAAAAGTGTGTGCATGTGTTATTTATCAGTGCGGTCTCCCGACCATTCCCAATGTCACCAAACGGTTGTATTAAATTGCCCGAACCTAACCTACCCGAGGGCCCACAAACAGAAAACAGGACATTACATCAATTTTGCAAGCTGCTACCATTTTCAGAACTTCAGTCTTTGGTTCTAGGAAAATTAAACATCAAAATCCGATGTACTATTCAGGAGAATGGGTTCATATTTATATATGTGCACATATAAATGAATATACTGTGTGTGTGCACAGGTGTGTACATGTGTATGTATGTGTGTAGGTGTATAAAGTATAAGCATACACAGGGTGTTTACCCAGTGGTAGAGATCATTTGCCATATTACATGAAGGTATCTAATTTACTTCAAGCAAATTTGTTTTATTGTTGTTTATGTTTTACTTGTTTTGCCTTGTTTTATTGTGCTTATGCTTTCTGGCAGGTTTTTCTCGGTTATGGGCTGATCTCCGATCCTCAAGTTTCCCCTTGCTTTATAGAGAGCACTCAACTCTGATCCTGGGTCCTGGTAAGCTCCAACGGGTCCAATATGGATTGGAACACTGATTTTTCTAATTAACATAGATTGTTAATTGCAATAATTAACTAGTTTAATTAATTAGTAATCTTGTGTCACGACCATATTCTTAATGTAATCTGGTCGTGCACAGTCCTTATTAAAGGACTAATCACGAGGGATACAGAACTTTTCACTGTACTGGGCTTACGGACTGTTATTCTTTGCATTCTGTTTGACAGAAAATGTTAAATCCAATGCCCTACTTTACCCATTATTCTTACTGATCTAATTTTATGGGTTAACCCTCCATGTTACACTTTTCGAATGCCTTTGCAAGGTCTATATATACATCTGCATTTTGTTTTCCTTCTAATGCCTCCACAATTTTGCCATAGTGGTTGAATAATTGCAAAAGACAGGATCTTCCTGTTCTAAATCCATGTTCACTTGGGTTGTGAAGTTCATTGTTCACCACAACACTGGAGATCTGCTTCCTAATCACTCAGTGATAAACTTTTATTATGTATGATATTAGTTTGACTTTTTTTAGTTTTTGCCAAAGCTTTACTGCCTCCTTTATGTAGTGGAGCTATATCTGCTTAATTAAGTGTTTTTGGAATCTTCCCTGTATCCAAGTTCTCTCTCCATATTACAACGAGTGCTCGTGCTACTGGTACTTTACATTTCCTTATGAATACAGTATTGAATTCCAGAAGTCAGGACCTTGGGCTGAGTGCATGGGCACGTTGTAAATCACTCTTTCAAAATCTGTTGTGCTCATGTTAATATAAGTTAAATTCACACAGGATATGGTGAGAGGTACAGCTGAGTAGAAGCAGCGTGTAGGGAAACAAAGTAAATGTATTTGTATACATCGATTCACGAGAAGCACTGTACACCTGGTCCAAATGAGCAGTAGGTTGCTGCCTGGGTGTGGTAGTGTTTATTTACTGGTGATGCCATTACTGTTTTGTATTGTAAATGATGTAACAAATGGATGGATGATATTTGATGTTTCTAATTAAACATCTATAACTATCTTTTTTTTTATATTATTATACTTATCATTTTAACTGCACTGAGGCCATTCTACCCCTTCTGGGAAATGCAGTATGTATGTATGTACAGTATTTGGATTTAGCTTGTATTTATGGATTTAATTTCAGTAAAAATTAAAAAATTAATACATTTAAAATTTCATGATCCACTTAATTCTAAAAATCTCCAGTGACAATCATTTACTGTAGTTACAAGTACTATTTAGAGATCTTCATTACACATACTATAATGCTAACACAAATCACATGACAGTATTAAAACAAATATGGACGTACTGATTTGGCAAAAGGAATTTTCTAACAATGCCATAAGTGACAAAATTAGCTGCAATTCCTAGTCAGTATTCAAAACACTACAAAAATTGTCAAACAATTTCATTCAACAAAGTTTCATGAACTTTGAATCACAATAAAATATTGTTATGTACATATGGACAAGATCTGGCAAGTGAAGCAAGACCACAAAATATTCAATTAAGGAATATAAAAGATTGTAATGATCAGATTTTCTACTTAAGGTCTGGCACACTCAATCCAATTAGGTCATTCAGTGCATCTTAATTATGATGTTTTCCAATATTGTGAGCCTTAAGTATGGAAAGCATTAATATGATTACAAATGAACAGAGAAAAAGTGCCTAATCAAAAGGCACAGCTGTGTAAAATTACCGAGTACTATTCCTCAACATTCTATATAACCATAAGATATGAAGAACTAGAAATCGGGACATTGGATTAATTAGAGTTAAGAACATAAAACAAAGACAAATAAACCTTTTAAAAATCCTAAAAAGTGTGGTTATTAAACTAGTTAAGAGAAATAATGACCATAGGAAGAAACTACATTGACCTTAAACTGTTCAAATTGCTACTTGTGATTACTGTGCAACTTGTGCACAATTTGGCATATGCAATTGTTTCCAATTTAATTTGCTGACCTTTTTTATTACCATGACACACCACAACATAGTACAGTACAGTACAGTACTTTTAAAATGCTAAGCAGTCCAAGGGATAACAAAAATAACTATGGGCTTGTACTTTACTGCTGCTGAGATTCTAATATCTTCAAACGATGAAGATAAGATTTTCATGAAATTCCTCCAAAGATAATGAAAATACTTAAAGTTTAATTATAAGAACAAATTAACGATTGCAAACCATCATAAAATTCCAGATCAAGACCGAACAACATACACGTGTAAATATGCCGATGCTGTCATTGTGAGCATGGCAATGTGCAACGAGGCCATCGTCTCAGAGATTCAGTGTTTCCAAGCTTGATGAAATCTGGTCGAATCAGGTCACGCAAAGAGTCGTGACGGTTCTGTGGAGAATAGGTTATTTCACAAGTAAAACCAAGATAATTTTAGAAACAAAACCTTAAACAAAATGGTGAATCACAAATTGTTAAATGTCGAATACAATAACATAAGATGCACTAAAATATACTAATATCTCCGATGGCTTATTCATAGCACTTTATGACCTTCCTTCCAAGGGCATGTCTATGATAAAGAGAGACTCCAGGCTGTTTTATATACAGTATGTATAAACTTGTAGCTGCTTCTGTACCTCTCATACTATCCTGATACATATCCACACAATCCCACACTCTCCTTTTCCATGATAATGGTTGTCCATTCTTCATTAACATTACTCTGCATAATACTTACTTTGACAGTCTCCGTGGTGTAGTGGTAAGACACTCGCCTGGCGTTCCGCGAGCGCTATGTCATGGGTTCGTATCCTGGCCGGGGAGGATTTACTGGGCGCAATTCCTTAACTGTAGCCTCTGTTTAACGCAACAGTAAAATGTGTACTTGGATGAAAAAACGATTCTTCGCGGCAGGGGATCGTATTCCAGGGACCATAGGATTAAGGACTTGCCCGAAACGCTACGCGTACTAGTGGCTGTACAAGAATGTAACAACTCTTGTATATATCTCAAAAAAAAAAAAAAAAAAAAAAAAAAAAAAAAAAAAAAAAATAAATAAATAATGGATGTCATTTAAATTTCTTCTTTCTAAATGTACAATTAGCGATTCTCTTCAGATAACCATATATAAAGCATATTATAATTATTTGTACCCCCCTGACATACTACCAATACACACCTCACATCTATGGCCATCTCTGTCATTCCACATCTTTGGTTCCCATTTTCCCAGTGTCTGAGACAGGAAACCTGTTAGTATCATAGAGATTCCCTTAGGTCAATTACCGATCTTCTGCAGGGTACAACTCACAACAGTTGCCCAACTCCCAGCTACTTATTTACTGCTAGGTGAACACAGGCATCAGGTAAAAGGAAATATACCCAAATGTACAGCCACGGGAACCACACCCAGGATCTTTCAGTTGTGAACTGACTGAACTGACCACTGCTTTTTAATTTATTTCTCTATTACTAATGCCTCCCAAAATACTTGTTCTACTTACACTCGTAAAAATACAAAGTTTATATAAATAATGATAATTTTAGATTCTTTCACATTCCATGTTCTTGTTTCACTCCCAGTAATTAGAAGTGGAAGCAATACAGTGCCTGGTAAATCAATCACTTTTTTCCCATGCACTATCCCTCCCCAAATTATTTTACTCCACAGTTACATGTTTTGCCTAGTGCTGTACTCACCCTAAATAATTCAATTCCTTGACTTCCTCCATTGTCACCACCCACTTCAAACTAACCATGGCATCACATTATGTTCCAATAGGGAAGATGAAGCCCACTAACATACTGTTGTGCTCTTCAATGACAATTAACTTGCTTTTAACTGCATTAAGTTTTTAATGCATACTGAGTCAAGATTATTCAACACTTTTTGGATCTGCTCCTGACTTTCAGTAATAGGCAAAGACTCATTAGCAGGAACATATCCTGCTATTTATTTCTTACTTTACACCTGTCCTCCCACATCTTCATCTTTCTAAAAGCTCCATCCATATACTGTACTGTGTGTTATAACCCTTACTCCAATGGGCATTGGCAATAATCTCGTGTGTGCAAATTACCATTTGGAATTTTTTCCTTATTCGATTTCTTTTTCTATCATGTGCACCACGATGATAAATAGCCGAGCAGTCCAAGGGTTAAGCTTCAAATGGGCATTAAAATAATTTGTCTTTTTTCAACACATACAAAATTTAATATTAGTTTCCTTTTCTCTTTTATGCATGCATTACATTCTATAACATGATGCTTTTGAAACTAATTCACACCCCTGTATGAGCCAGGTCTAAACAGAACCTGTCCTGCATGAGCCAGTACATCAAAGCAGAACTTGTCCTACATGAGACAGTAGGTCTAAACAGGAACTGCCCTGCACAAGCCGGTAGAGCTAAACAGGACCTGTCTTACATGAGACAGTAGGCCTAAGCAGGACCTGCCCATGCACCAATTAGGTCTACACATGACCTGCCCTGCATTAACCAAGTCTAAACAGGCCTTGCCCTGCATGGGGAGCCTACCTCAGCATTCTCACGTTCCTACAGTCTGTCTACTCTGATAAGCCAAACAAGATGGATTATTATGAATCATAAAAGTATTGTGATTCACAATATTTTTGTTATTGAAATGTTAGAAATAAAGCTACTATTTACATGTGACAACTGGTTAAAAAGAAACATAGAAATACATAATACTACTTATTTTCGAAAGTGTACTACAAGAATAATTAATGCCCCTCACCTTGAGTTCTGAGGCCAGATGGAAGAACGTGTCGTCCACATTGGTGTTGTCCTTTGCTGAGACCTCCATCACCGTCATTATTTCTGGCACAGTCTCGCACAGTGCTTCGGCTTCATCGAACTCGACTTCACGCAAGGTTTCCATATCACATTTATTGCCTGTGAGCAGTTAACAAATTTGCTTAACATCTAAATAAGCATCAAACTCATTTAATAAGGCTAAAAAAAAAAGGTATAGGCAAGAATTATGAATATACAGTGGTACCTTGAATAACGAATTTAATCCGTTCCAGTGCCGTGTTCATCATGTGAAATGCTCGTGTTTCAAAACAAATGTCCCCATTTAACCACTGTGATGCGCCGAGTTTATTGTGAAATTTCCCGTGTGCATGACATCAAGTGTTCCCCAAAATTATTTTTCTTTGTAAAATTATAAATTCCCTTCCCTGAACATGTCTATGTAAAAATAAATACCAAATTCCACTTACTTTGGCTGTGGGGATGTGGACAAGGTGCGCTGTGATATCATCAGGGCCTGGTCGCCAGTGCGTGACTCACCCAGACACAGTTGCGCGGGCCATTCAAGCACCGCGTGTTGCCACAAATATATTTTCAATTATTTGTTCTATGTATTTCCAATGTGGTTTTATTTTTTTTATCGTATATGATGCATATTTGTTACCTTTACAATATGTATACAGTAGAACGTTCATAATGTTCCATGGAACTGTGATACATGTGTCAGTAATGTGTCCACAATAAATGTTTATTGTCACAACATTAGTACTTGGTAAAAATTCACTAAAATTACAATATGTACAGTTTCACACACTATTTACACAGTAGCACACTGTATTACACACTCAGTACTTTGGAGGTGAGTAATAATCAACAAAGTAGTCTTTGGTACACAGCGCGACTTTGCTCTTGTTGCACCAGGTACAGTACAGATAGATTTTCGTTTCCGGTTTCTTCGTTCTGTGTGCTTGCAAATAACGCATTCATGTACACCCTTGGCGTTAGTACTTGTAGGTGGTATGTAGCCAATCTTGTGAAGCACAAGGTAGTATTGAAAAGATTATAGGAAAAGATCAATTTGTAAGGTAATCTTGAAAATATCGCTTAGTAAAGTCCCACACTAAAAGAGATTCACCCACCCTCGAAAAGTGTCTGCCAATCTAAAAGAGATTCTGGCATTCTGGAAGAGATTCAGCCAGCCTCAAGGAGTGTCTGTCATTCTAGAAGAGATTCAGCTAATCTTGAAAATATCTATGGAAAACACCACAATGGAAGCCGCTAACACTGTTCATCTCTGCTACTTGTATCATATGCATCATCACTGAATGCAGAAAATGAGTCATCTATGTATCATCTATATAAATTGGAGATGACATAGGTGGGCAAGGGTGGCGCTCAAGAGCTACAACTGGATACACTCGCCGTATCATCCTCATAGGTGCTGGATAATGTGCATCCGACCTTTGTGTTAGGTTCTAATTGCGCCTAGCTTCACCAATATCATGACCCTTAAGTTATTAAAACAATAAGGTCTGAATTTCACAGAACTGAGACGAATTCGGACTCTCTGCACCTATTTTCATTTTCAAATTACAACTTTTTATACCGAAAATATGACAATTACTAAAATCGGCGATGGGTCATATTTTGCCCAAACCCCTCTGCAGTTTTCCATATATCTGAAATGTGGGAAATTTTACTCCTGAGCGTGATTATTGAGCCGAATTCTGATTCTCTGCACCTATTTTCATTTTCAAATTATGAATTTTTATACCGAAAATATGCCAATTACTGAAAACGACGATGGGTCATATTTTGCCCAAACCCCCCTGCAGTTTTCCAAATATCTGAAATGTAGGAAATGTGACTCCTGAGCGTGATTTTTGAGCCGAATTCTGAATCTCTGCACCTATTTTCATTTAAAAATTACGACTTTTTATACCGAAAATATGCCAATTACTGAAAACGGCGATGGGTCATATTTTGCCCAAACCCCCCTGCAGTTTTCCATATATCTGATATGTTGGAAATTTTACTCCTGAGCGTGATTTTTGAGCCGAATTCTGACTCTCTGAACCTATTTTCATTTTCAAATTACGACTTTTTATACCGAAAATATGCCAATTACTGAAAACGGCGATGCGTGATATTTTGCCCAAACCCCCCCTGCAGTTACAGAGCGCAATCTTTCAACACAGTGTCGGGCAGGTCTTTGGGAGCCAGAGGGACATGTGCCACCCATGGTTTCTCACTCAGTACTAATCCAGCTAGCAGCCCTAGTTGTTCATATTTGTTATAGCAAAAGGTTTGTTCGGTGTACAGCAGGTAGGCTGCTCCATGTTTCCTAAAAACAAAGAAAAACTAAAAAAAAAAATGAAAAATTTGGAACAGAACAAATGTCAAAAAGGTTCGTTCGGTGTTCAGCAGGTAGGCTGCTATATGTTTCCAAACAATAAAAAATAAAAACAAAAAAATAAAAAATAACAGTTGAAACAATTTGAAAAACAGAGAAATGCCATAAAGGTTCATTCAGTGTTTGTCGGGTAGGCTGCTCCATTATGTCAATCTTTCTTTGTTTCAAAAGTGTTCCATTTGTTTTGTATTTTTCATTTACGTCTCAATAATGGAGACGTAACAATACCATGTTTTACCATGTATACCATGTTTTTTTTTATTTAAGAAACATGGAGCAGCCTATCTGCCAAACACCGAACAAACCTTTTTGACATTTGTTCTGTTTTTCAAAAAAATTTCATTTTTTTGTTTATTTTCGTTTTTTTTTTATTTAAGAAACATGGAGCAGCCTACTTGGCGAACACCGAACGAACCTTTTTTACATTTGTTTTATTTCAAACACTTTGCTTTCTCTTTTCTATAAAAAAAGTCATTGCTTTGCAACATCTCACCAGTCCCCCCACCCTTAAATCCCAGCATCATTAGCATTCTTAAACAAAAACAACATAATTTATTTGCATTGTCGGAGGCATCCAAAAATGTGCGAGAAGCAGCACGAGTAATATTAAATAATGTCGTTCCTGAATAACAACACCACTACCATGTGGTGTTGTCATTATTCAAACGAGCGGTCGCCATACGAGATGAATTGTTGGTGATCGTTACCCAAAATGTTCGCCATTTGTGGTGATAGTCACTCGCGGTTCTACTGTATACCCACTGATGCTGTGAAAACAAACGTCCTAGCTACCTATAATGCTGTGAAAACAAGAGGACTAGTACCAGAAATGCTGTGAAAATATGAGAACTAGCTATCTTCAATGCTGTGAAAAACAAGAGAACGAGTACCTTCATTGCTGTGAAAACAAGGGAACTAGTACAGTGGGGTCTCGACTTACGATTTTAATCCGTTCCCAAAGGCGGATCGTAAGTCGAAATATTGTAAGTCGAAACTAATTTTCCCATAAAAAATAATGGGAATTGAAGTAATCCGTTCCACATCACCAAAAATATTAACTTAAAAATACATTTTATACTGAATAACAGTACAATACAGTATCTATATCTTACCTTCAATGAGGACTCTTGTTGGCGTATGGAAGACAGTGAGGAGGAGGAGGAGGGGAGGAGGAGAGATGTTAGTCTTTGGAAGGGAATCCCTTTCCATTATAACATCAGGCAGTGATGACTTTTCTGGGGTACTCTCTCTTCCCAACATTTTGCTTGCATACCACTAGGACAAGCTTGTGGCTCACTGCTTGTTTTTCTCACTAAAAACCTGTCTAACAACACTTATTTTTCCCTATGTTGTAACACTTCTCTGAAGTGAGACATCACATTATCATTAAAAAGGTTAACACAATGGCCTGCTACAGCTTGATTTGGGTGACACTTTTCAGCAAAACTTTGCAATTCTTCCCATACTGCACACATTTTCTTAATATATGAGGAAGGGACATCCTCTACTCTACATCAATAACCCACACACCATCTTTATGTTTACGATTGATCTCTTGTTTTTCCTCTATGGTCATCCTCATATGATTTTCATATGTTGAACCTTACCACTGACTTTCTTGGGACCCATGGTGTGATGTATAATACAGTAATTACTTTGATGTTCAAAAAACTAAATATCACCAAAATAATGGAATTTCTTACAAGTGTGATTGTCACTAAGCGGGCAGCTCTGGTAAACTGAGGCAAGTCGACCTGTGTTACCAGGAACACAGGAACGTTCTGTCGACCCGAACGCGTATCAATGAATATCGTTAGTCGACAACACAATTGTAAGTCAAACCACATTTTCCAACCAAATTTACATCGTAACTCAAAAATATTGTAAGTAGGGACAATCGTAAGTTGAGATGTCAATGTACCTGCAATGCTGTGAAAACAAGGGAACTAGTTCTGTACTTGCAATGCTGTGAAAACAGGGGAACTAGTACTGTACCTGCAATGCTGTGAAAACAAGGGAACTAGAACCTGCAATGATGAGAAAACAAGAAAACTAGCTAGCCTGGGAGAGAGCATTGGCTGCCAGCTAGGACAACAGCATGGTCACCAGCCAGACACTGGCATACCCATTTTCTGTGGTTTCATTCATTGGAAACCACTGAGCAATAGGATCTGATATTACTGGACATGGCAGCATAGTGTGTCAGCAGAATATGATAGTGTGTTCAAATTGCTTGGTGCAATTTGTTATGGATCGCTTCCCATACAGCAGCAGGTCACCTTCCAATGTTTGGTGGATCATTACTAAGGAAACACCGATTGTTAGGGGTCTGATTGTTATGTTAAGTAGAATGAAGTGTTGGCATGCTTCAGTAGCACTTTCAATTCCCTTAGAGATACTTGGTTTTAGTGACAGAATGACAACAGAGCATTTGTGGTGGCAGCATCTGGGCACATCTTTCATTACCCATAATAATAGGGCATTTTCTGGTAGCCAACTTAGTAGCTACAGTATATGAGATATGGCATTATGTCTGCTAAGCCATGTGGAATTGCAACAGACTTCTGAGACCTACCCAAGCATGACAGCTGAGTGGACAGCACTTCAGATTCGTAGTCCTGAGGTTCTGGGTTCGATCCCCGGTGGAGTCAGAAACAAATGGACAGTTTCTTTCACCTTGATGCCCTGGTTACCTAGCAGTAAACAGGTACCTGGGAGTTAGACAGCTGCCACAGGCTGCTTCCTGGGGTGTGTGTAACAAAAAGGAGGCCTGGTTGAGGACCGGGACTGAGGTAAACCCACTGAAGAATTAGCCAGGGAAGCAAGTGAGGTAGGATCCCAGGCACCCTTCACTGACACATCGATGCTGTCACCTGGTGATGGGTAGGGACTAGCGAGCTGATCATAACCTAAATGTTGCTGTAGCAGTTAACAGTCTCAAAGTAATAAGTATGTGCATCACAACTTGACTCAAAGTATTACTCGGAAGAGGTAATTTGAGTACTGTATCTAGAAATGTACCTTCTGATGGGTCATTTAGGGCAGGAATAAGAATTCTATAGTACTGAATCTCCCTCCCTCCCTTCCTTCCAATAACGAATTTTACTGATGGCTGTTTCAAAAGACTCTTACTGTGTTGGGGTGAGAAGATCGAATTGACCATAACTGGAGTATACCATGTCCTGGGAATATTGGGTTACTGTATTGCCTCAGGAAGCAATTTAACTGAGATAACAAGTTCATTATCCCAAGCTGATTTGACTACACGTTATGAGGTTTTGCATGTCACAGAGGTGCTTTGCCTGACTACCAAACACCAAAATGCACAGCAAGTAAAATAAGATCTGTAACTGGCCCTCTGGCCACGACCACAGTATGAGGAAGAGGTCTGGATATTAAGGTGTGCATTCTCGATTTTCTTAAACCCCTGGAAGGCGCTTGCCTTAACCCTAAAACTGCTCAATTGCAATCTGCTATTTTCTACTATTTTATTTCTTAACTATTTTAGTCAGTGCACCGTGATGTAGTACTTTTAAATGGTTCCACAGTTCAGAGGTTAAATAAAATCTTTTCACAAAGATGAGCATAATGATTACTTACCAATAAGAACAATTACTGCTTGGGGGTGTGTGTATCTACGTACTTCATCCATCCATCTCTGAACACCCAAGAAAGATGATCGTTTAGTGATGTCATAAACTGAAAAGAAGATGGAGTAGAAGCTTACTATCAAAAAGAGTAATATTATGGAATACAATGCAGTAATTAATTTTTCTTTCATGTCACAATGTCCTATTTTTCCAATTATCAAAATGACAAAATTATCAAAATTTAAATAGAATCACAGTAATCAAGGTAGGCTAGAATCTGGGCCCCAAGAAAGCAAAGGTTCCAGAGAATAACTTTAGAAAGTTTGGTAAAAATCCTGGATGCCAAGTTCAAATCGAGCAGCAACACCTAAAGGTGGCACTCAAGGTGTTATAACCCAAAACCTAGCCAAACACTAAATTATAGGTGAATGGGCAAATGCCAATAGACATCTTGCATATCCAGGGAAATGAGACAGGATTGGACTGATACCACTAGGCTCACTTCAGACAAGGTGGTTGGAATGTGTGTGTTGAGCTTTTACAGATCAAGGATAAACTGAGGTGCATGGAATTCTTTCTTGGGAATAAGAATGAGGCAAAATACCACACTGAGGAACATATTAACACTATCACACCATTGGTCAACAAGTCATGAATGAAAGTGCACAAGCCCATGATATGTGATGGAGGAGGATCACATCAACCGAAGGCCCTTAGTAACCACCACACAGAAAACCCAGACATACTGTGTCCAAGCCTGCCAAAATCCATTCAATCTTCAGACATCAAATCCTCTCCTTCTAAACCCCAGGTGACCAGGACTGCCACATGGTAGAAGAAGAGAAAATGGGGACAGGTGTATTTGTCTTCTCTAACTATGGGTTGGGTTGTTTGGCCTTTTCATTCTTTTCTCAGAGAGAATAATTTTTCAATTTTACTTTTTGAATAGATCATTTTAGTCAATGATTTTTTATTCACATGTGCTCCCCTCACCGCTTTGAGGGGGCCAGATATTGGTGCTGGCACCTAACAGGGTGAAAAATTCAAGCATCTCATATCCGGGGAAGACCTTGTGGTGCCAGTGTCGTAAACTGTGGAACTACCGAGAGAGGCCAGCACAGAATCTATCATAAAATAGCATGGGGAAGCAATCTTTTGAAAATCATTAGTCTTACCAATAATAACACCATTAGCAGATCGGTAGTAGCTCTGCGTTATGGTGCGGAAACGTTCTTGCCCAGCAGTATCCCAAATCTGAAGCTGGAATATGGAGAGTAAAAATCAACTTTAGCAGCTATAATTTTACCACTGCACCACCACATACACACACACACACAGACTAGACAGAATTGTTCAAAAACTGAATCAACACTTATTTTTTGTCTTATAAATATGCTCATCCTTTATGTTTTTTAACCATTGCTGACCACATGAATTATTTTGGGGTTGATTTTGTATACAGTATTGTAGTGCACAATAGGTCACTAATTTCCCTTCTTAACATTCTGATACCTGCTCCCTATGAATACTGTGCTCATGCCTACTGTGCATGCCCACTGAGCATACATCCACTGTGCACATGTCCTTAAGATATCCAAGAACATGTCTGAAAAATAATTAATTCTTTCCCCACAATCAACAGCTAAATGAATACTGTATATTGTAAAATATACTGTATCATATTCAAGGATAAAGTACACTGCTACTACATTTTAGACGAAACTGAGAATAATTGTTACAGTAAATTGCATATAAATACCTATTCATCAAGACAAATGTAACAAGAATTTATCACGCTAGCAATAATATTAATTATATAATATAATAATTTAATGTAAAATTAGCAATCAAAGGCACCCAAAGAGACAGAAAAAATTTATTAAGCCTAAGTTTTTACCTTCACTTTTTTGGAATCAACAGTTAGTGTCTTCATGGAGAAATCAACGCCAATCGTATTACCATGGCGCTCAATATACATGCCAGACTTGAATCTCTGAACAACACATGTCTTTCCAACCCCACAATCACCAATCACAACAATTTTGAAAAGAAAGTCAAATTGGTCGTCAGCAGAATTATTCGTTGCAAAAGGCTGTGGTGAAGTCATCCTGACTCTTTAACTGATTGTTGCTCAGTTCTACAATATCTGTGGATGAAAAATAAATTAACAGCTGTTGTAAAGTTTAATGTAAAGTTATTGGTATCTAGCTAGTTGTCAGTACAGTATCTAATTTACAGTATTGACACTGAAAAAATCTATAATGTCTATACTAGTGGATAGAAAAAAAAATGCCAGGAACTCTTGAAATACAATTAGGTCACGTATTGAAACTTGAAAGGAATCTAATACAAAACTGTTGGCATAAATATAAAAACATTTGATCCATGAATGTAGGCATACTTCTTACAAAAAAATTTAAATATTTTTGTTGGAGGGATCGACAAATGAAAGGGGTTATATTTAATATTTGTTTATTTTTTCTTTCAGGAAGAGAGATACACTCTTCAAAATATGCATTATTGATAATACGTACTGTAAACTACCCATTCCAGAAACAAGCCACCAGATCCAGGTACCATTACTGTAATACACTTTATATCCAAATCAATTGGAAATGCCCTTAGTGCATATTAAACATGCCATGCTACACTGCATTAATATAAGACCTTTGGCCTAACACTCGGTGGCTTCCAAGAAATGAACCCCAGAAAATGGAGTCAATGCCAGGGAAAGCAAACTTCAACTAGGGTAGAGGGTCATGAACAGACACAATGTACAGTGTACTGTATTTACCCAAAAGCTGCCAACTCTTTTTGACATTGACAGGCACAAGAAATCAGTGGCTAGTGAAAGGTCCCAGTATGAGTTAAACCCATTTATTTGATACACAGCTTAAGGCCCTTCTAACAAGAATCAAAGGTGACCACTTTGATTCAACATTCATCCACATTTCAGTGAATGAAACTGTATCTACTGCTTTTGTACATACTGTAAAAATGTTTCAAGGTCATCCATCTTATTCCTAACACTTCTGCTGTTTGTGTAGTAAACCTCAAGAGAATTTGTATCATTTTTTTCCCTACTAGTATCAATACATCTTTTAATGGTACTCCTTCTACAATACCATTCATCAATTTCATGTAATTTTCTTCCTTCCACGTTCCAATCAGAACTTAATCTTCTATTAGTATAAAAGTCCGTCGCACTTAGTCTTTACCAAGTCTGCCATGGCTTCAAGAGGTTTTGTTTTGCCACATGTGACTAACAGCCAGCAACATTCCCCTGCTTGATGGGGTTCTGGGAGTTCTTCTGCTCCCCAAGCCCGGCCCGAGGCCAGGCTCGACTTGTGAGAGTTTGGTCCACCAGGCTGTTGCTTGGAGCGGCTCGCAGGCCCACATACCCACCACAGCCCGGTTGGTCCGGCACTTCTCTTAGAAAACGATCCAATTTTCTCTTGAAGATGTCCACGGTTGTTCCTGCAATATTTCTTATAGTCGCTGGGAGGACGTTGAACAGCCGAGGACCTCTGATGTTTATAGTGTTCTCTGATTGTGCCTATGGCACCTCTGCTCTTCACTGGTTCAATCTTGCATTTTCTTCCATATCGTTCACTCCAGTACGTTGTTATTTTACTGTGTAGATTTGGGACCTGGCCCTCCAGTATTTTCCATGAGTATATTATTTGGTATCTCTCTCGTCTCCTTTCTAGAGAGTACATTTTGAGAGCTTTGAGACGATCCCAATAATTTAGGTGTTTTATCTCGTCTATGTGCGCCGTGTATGATCTCTGTATTCCCTCTATTTCAGCAATCTCTCCTGCTCTGAAGGGGAAAGTGAGTACTGAGCAGTACTCAAGACGGGACAACACAAGTCTCCTAGTTGATGATCACCTGTGAAATTGTTGCTACTATGCCAACAGCAGTGCCCCAAGGAATCATGGCATTGGTAAAGCACCATATTAAACCATCGTGACTAGTGCCGTGCCCCATGTTCCCATGTCAAAATACAAAAGAGCAGTAACTTATTGGTTTGTGTCTATCATACTGTCTTCGCCAGGCAATATTCTCCAAGATCCCATGGCTGGGTTTGGGTTTTATTATTATATATTTTGCCTGGGTTTGGGAGAATTTACTTAATTCATACGACCCCTACTGGTACTGCACACTCAACAGGTAGACCAAGAGCATCTACCCGTACAATCAACAGGTGGACCAGGAGCTCCTACTGGTACAATCAACAGGTGGACCAGGAGCTCCTACTGGTACAATCAACAGGTGGACCAGGAGCTCCTACTGGTACAATCAACAGGTGGATCAGGAGCACTTGCTGGTACAATCAACAGGTGGATCAGGAGCACCTACTGGTACAATCAACAGGTGGACCAGGAGCGCCTACCGGTACAATCAACAGGTGGACCAGGAGCACCTATCAGCACAATCAACAGGTGGAACAGGAGCACCTACGGGTACAATCAAGCGGTGAGCCAGTGAGCACCTACCGGTACAATCAAGCAGTGGACCAGGAGCACCTATCAGCACAATCAAGAGGTTCACCAGCTCTCCCCTTGAACCAGCAACAAATAGTCACAACTTGGGACAAAAACAAGAGCTTACGTTCACAACACAATGAAGGGCAGCACACTGAGCTTGCTAAAGTTGTCTATTTCATTCAAGTAGAAAAAAACTTGTAAACAAATTGCTGTGTATATAGTTTTGTTTGATATAATAAATCAATGCTTATGGATTTTAATAGCATTCAGATTTTTTCTTTTGCGAATTCAGTATTTACTGCAAGTTCGCGCCATATTCAAACCCGTATAAAAAAAAAATTAACATGCTCGTGTCTAAAGCTAGACACAAATACAACAAATTATTAATAATGGTAACAGTCCATTTCATGTGAACTCCATCTCATGTTTGCCTCCTAATGCATGATAGAGCTGATGAGTTAGCCAAAGAATCTGCCTTTAAAAGTGAAATTGAGTATAACCTTGGTTTGTCAATAAGTAGTCTGAGAGCATTAGTACACCAAGAACTTCAACAAAATCTTGTAGATCTGAGGCAAAGTGAAATCGACACCAGTAATTACATCTTATAATCATACTATCATTCAAGAAAAGCCACACATCTATGGATCATCCAATAAAATCAGCAGATTTCTAGATGTTACTACTGCTCGGCTTAGACTCGGTTACAAGTATCTCTAGGAGTTTTCGTTGTCTGCTGGTTTAGAGCTGACCAAATGTAAACTGTGTCAACAAAATTATTCGCACACCCTCCGTCACTATGTGATGGAGTGTGAAAAGATTCGTGAATTCAGAGACAATTCTTTAACAAATGTTCAAGAGATGTGTAGATATTTAATTCAAAATGATCTGCTGCCAGAATTCTTAGCCAAATATCCCCAGTTTGCTAACTGTAGGTAGTAACTAAGTGATTGTAACCTATCCACCGCTGCCCACTGGATGGGGGGCGGTGTGCAGGACAAACATATCAATTTGTGACACTAGCTCTCCACATATGTCAGTTGCTTAATTTAGAAACTGTACTTGTGGTCGATCTCGAACCCATTGATGATGTGACGATGTGCATTGAATTTTGTAACTAGCTCATCAAGATTGTAACTTGCTTAGCTAGATGAATTGTGGGGTTCACTCCCTGAGCCCATTATGTGCCTCTGTAACCCTTTCCACTACCTCCCACAAGATGAGTATGGGGTGCATAATAAATGAACTAAACTAACTTATTCTTGGGGATATTTTATACGTAAGTTACCCAGCCACAAGCAGTAAATTAAACTAAATTTCTTTCTTTATTATGCACCCCATACCCATCCCGTGGGCGGTGGTGTAAAGGGTTACAGAGGCACATAATCGGTTCAGAAACTGAACCCTCTAGTTCGTTTAGCTAAGCAAATAACAATCTTTTTGACGCTAGTTACAAAATTATTAATATTATATATGTTCACATACTCATGCATACATGTACATATACATACGTATACATATATACATACACATACATATTTAATCACCCACACAAATCAATAATCTTTTGTGTCACAAGTGATTCAACAAGAGGCTCACAACAGTCACTATACAAGGCACTTTACATCTATGATGAGTCACACAGTTACTAGTCTTGCTCCACACCCACCCAACTGGGCGGCAGCTTTACAGTCATGTGCATGCATTACCTACAGTAAGCAAATTTTGGATACTTCGCTAAGATTTCGGGCAACACATCTTGAGGTTATCTTGAGTTATCTTGAGATGATTTCGGGGCTTTAGTGTCCCCGCGGCCCGGTCCTCGACCAGGCCTCCACCCTCAGGAAGCAGCCCGTGACAGCTGACTAACACCCAGGTACCTATTGTTTTAATGCTAGGTAACAGGGGCATAGGGTGAAAGAAACTCTGGCCATTGTTTCTCTCCGGCGCCCGGGATCGAACCCGGGATCACAAGTCCAGTGTGCTGTCCGCTCGGCTGACCGGCTCCTTATGAATGAAGTACTTACACATTTTTTGGACACTATTGATGGTGTTATCTCTAAATTCCGCGATTTTTTCACATTCCACTATATAATGACGCAAAGTATGCGAATAGTTCTGCTGACAGAGTTTACATTTAGTCAAATCTACATCAGCAGATGTTACAAATTCCCAGAAGTACTTGTAGTCGAGCCTAAGCCTAGCAGTGGTAACATCTAGAAGTCTGCTAACCTTATTGGATGACCCATAGACGTGCAGTACTTCCTGCATAATAGAATGATGATAGATGGAGTAACTGGTGTGAATTTCACTTTGCCTCAAGTCTCCAAAATTTAGTTGATGTTCCCGGAATATTACTGCCCTCAGGCTGCTCAAAGGCAGTCCAAGTTGATAATCAATTCCCTCTTTACGAGCAAAAATCTTGGCCAACTCATTAATTCTATCATGCATTCGGAGACCAATATGGGAAGGAATCCACAGGAGACAGACCCTGACTAGCGTAGCGTTTCGGGCAAGTCCTTAATCCTATGTTTCCTGAAATACGATCCCGTGAAAAATCGTTTTTACAACCAAGTTCCCATTTTACTGTTGAGTTAAACAGAGGCTACAGTTAAGGATTTGCGTCCAGCAAATCCTCCCCGGCCAGGACACGAACCCAGGACAAAGCGCCAGGCGAGCGTCTTAACCATTACGCCACGAAAACTGTGGCGTCTTCGTATTGAAGACTATTACTAATTGTAATTAAGTAGCAATAAATGCTGTTTACATGCTTGTCCTCCAACACTCCAAGGTTAGGTTAGGTCGTGGTTTTCTATACAGCTTTTCATGTAAACTCTAATATTCACAATATTTTGGTGCGATGTTGGCGATTAAGTGTATTTATGTACTATGCCGATAGTCAGGATTGTACTTATCACATTTAGTATTAAAATGTACTGTCTATTCGGAGGATGGGCTGACAGCGCAACATAAACCCCCGCTTCTTTTAATTTAAAATAATATTTTTTAAGGATGTTAACAAAAATGCATGAATTGAAAATAAAACATTTATTATTTTTCATTTAATAAAAACGCATACATATAAAAACAAATCACATACCTATTGTGTTTCCCTTTTAGTATTATTAAATAGCAATAATGTACATCAACATACTGGTTTTCTGTTTTGAAGAAAAAGGTATGAAATATCTTAGTAATTTGGCACAGATATACATAGACCATTACAGTGAAACTTTTATCACATTACGTGTATAAAACATTGTTGTAAACAATACTTATCATAAAACAATGTTGTAAACAGTACATCTCATAAACCATTGCTGTAAACAGTACTTCTCATAAGACAGTGTTATAAACAGTACTTCTCATTAAACATTGATTTAATCAGTACTTCTCATAAACCATTGTTATAAACAGTTCATCTCATAAACCATTGCTGTAAACAGTACTTCTCATAAAACATTGCTGTAAACAATGCTTTTCAAAAAATATTGTCGTAAATATTGCTTCTCATAAAACATTACTGTAAATATTGGTTCTCATAAAACATTACTGTAAATATTGCTTCTCATAAAACATTACTGTAAATATTGCTTCTCATAAAACATTACTGCAAATATTGGTTCTCATAAAACATTACTGTAAATATTGCTTCTCATAAAACATTACTGTAAATATTGCTTCTCATAAAACATTACTGTAAATATTGGTTCTCATAAAACATTACTGTAAATATTGCTTCTCATAAAACATTACTGTAAATATTGCTTCTCATAAAACATTACTGTAAATATTGGTTCTCATAAAACATTACTGTAAATATTGCTTCTCATAAAACATTGCTGTAAACAATGCTTTTCAAAAAATATTGTCGTAAATATTGCTTCTCATAAAACATTACTGTAAATATTGGTTCTCATAAAACATTGCTGTAAATATTGCTTCTCATAAAACATTACTGTAAATATTGGTTCTCATAAAACAACCATGATATCATTTATATTCAGAGGTGAGGATTTCCCTACACGGAGGTTAAAAGGGAATCTTAAGTCAGTATAATCAATGCATTGCAAAAATACAGATTGGCACTGATGGCAAATAAACTAATGTAATTAATTATTTAAATTTTGTTAATTTATTATGCACCCCATGCCCATCCCGTGGGCGGTAGTGAAAAAGGTTACAGAGCATATAATGGGTTTGGGAACTGAGCCCCAAAGTATATTTAGCTAAGTTATAATGTTGATATAATTAATGAATTGGTGCATTAATTCATATCTTTGTGCACAAGCAATGCAATGAACTATCTTGTTTGATTTTTAAAACCCTGACCTGACACTTGTCATGTTGTCTGCTTGGATAATTCTTTATTAACAAGCTTAGGTATACACGGCAGCTTGCTACTATCTATATATATCACAGAATGTGTTTGTAAGAGGTTGGAGGCCAGACACCCAACTTTGTAGGGGAAATGGTCTAGGTTACAGGATGGACATAGGCCCGTCAGGGTTGGTCCTATTGTTAAAGAGGTTGGTTGGTCGTATTGTTCAAGAGGTTGGTTGGTCGTATTGTTCAAGAGGTCGGTTGGTCGTATTGTTCAAGAAGTCGGTTGATTGTAGTGTTCAAGAGGTTGGTTGATCGTATTGTTCAAGAGGTCGGTTGGTCGTATTGTTCAAGAGGTCGGTTGGTCGTATTGTTCAAGAGGTCGGTTGGTCGTATTGTTCAAGAAGTCGGTTGGTCGTATTGTTCAAGAAGTCGGTTGGTTGTAGTGTTCAAGAGGTTGGTTGATCGTATTGTTCAAGAGGTCGATTGGTCGTATTGTTCAAGAGGTCGGTTGGTCGTATTGTTCAAGAAGTCGGTTGGTCGTAGTGTTCAAGAGGTTGGTTGATCGTATTGTTCAAGAGGTTGGTCTATCTATATCTTATAAATGAAGACTTAGAGTGGGTGCCCAGTGTTGCTCGGGTGGAGGCACATCTTCACATCCATGAGTGAACTCTTTTTTTTTAATTAATTGTTGACAATATTATTTAGTGTGTGGGGATTGGGGGTCATAATAGATGAAGGTAGTATCATCAACAAATAGAATAGGTTTAAGAATGTTAGAAACATTTGGCAAGTCATTGATGTTTATAAGAAATAGGAGAGGTCCCAAGATGCTGCCCTGTGGCACCCCTACTGTCAATGGCAGAGTGGGGGAGGTTATGCTATTGATGACTACATATTGGTGTCTGTCACTGAGATAGGAACAAATATAGTCCAGAACAAGGCCTCGGATACCATAGTGGGGAAGTTTAAGTAAGAGGTAGTTACGGTAAAAATAATTCAAATATAAGTAATAATTCAAGTTAATGGTAACAAAGCACATACCATGATCAAGGTGGAGGACGCTGGACGGAGTAAGAGGACACTTCCAGCTACTAACAACCATACTGAACGTGCCCTGACCTTCCTGGACGCGCTGAAATTTCCATACCTACAGAAGTTTCCCCCTTCGTTGCAGTCACGACTTCAAAAACCCGAAATAGCGCAATACATCGAATGTTTTCTTGATCAAAGGTTCCTTGTATCTCCAGATCGTATTATCGAGAACAGTGTCATTCAAGAGGGAAGGGCATATTTTTCTCTGGTCGTCAACACAGTATTTGCGGGAGTGCTGGAGATGGGCATACTCGGTGGGCATATCCAAGGTCTTGCAGTGGTCGAGGCAGGAAAAAGGGTAGTGGTTGTGGAGAGTGAGCACCTTCTGAGTATCGTGGAAACACTTCATGTTATAGCCGGGCTTGCTATAGTTGGCGGCGCGGTAGACATGTTGCATCAGGTGCATGTAGGACGGTATGTCATGGAAGTAGCCATGAGCTTCCTGCATGGGATCCAGAAAGTATGCATTGCGAGCGCAGTAAGATACCAGAGTGCGGTTTCGTGCCTCCTTCACTTCTGCGACCACTTGATCAAGAAGCGACCTCCAGTCTCTTGCTGTCTTGGGCACGATGACTTCATCTGTGTCTAATAAAACTATATACTTGTAATGGTTCATGTTTCTGTATAAACAGTCATTATATGGTATTACTTCGTTCTGGCGTTTCTGTAATCCCTTATTTTTCAGGTACTTATGTAGCAAGTTGCGCTCATTTGGTTGTTCACCGGGCAATGAAAGTTTCTTAATATCTACCAGTCCTAAACGTTCATAGTATTTAAGAACTTTGTTAATACTAGGTTGTAGTCCCATGTTGTAGAGGAACACTTTGTCAGCACCGAGAAGGAAGAGCAGTTCTAACCACTCCACAATACGCACGGTTTTATCTATGTAAAAGTCTAGCCCTTTGACGCACACAGCAAAATTCTTTTTCTGCCCATTTTGCGGTTGGTTGTTGATGACCCGAAGGTTGTTGGTTGGCTTGTCGCAGGGCTGCTCCACCAGCGACACTGACTGAGGCACCAGCTGTCTGTGTTCAGCTGGTACAATACACTCAAGCAGGTATGGCTGTAATATACCCTGGTTGTAATTACCCCATTCCTTGTACCATATATATCTGTACTCTGAAACATTTACAATGACTGGGGAGATTTTGTCATTAAACCAGATCTTGCATTTGGTCTTCACGGATGGTTCAATGCGATTAATCATGGCAAGAATTCTAAGAGAAGGTGAGTGTTTACTCAGAGTGCGGTTGTCGTAAAAGGCGCTGTACATGTAAAAACTGCCATTGCTGGTCTGAAGGACCTGCCAGTAAATACTGTTAAAGTGAATATCAAATAGTTCAGGGTATTTACTACAATTAGTGTTGCCTGATCCAAAGTGAGGGTCATTCCTTTTACGGTAGCTGAAGGGCAGGTTAGGCAGTGTGTCCAGGACCTCCTCCATCTCTTCTTTCCCAGTCATGTCCATCGCTGGATCCAAGTACAACTCGCTTAAATGTAAAGCGGAGATGGACAATCTGAAAGAAGTACACCAATGACGAATTTTGCAAATTCTTGTATAATCATGTCAGGTTAGTAATGTTTAGTAACTTCATAAAACTCTGAGTAGCAGCAAAACTAATCTATACTGATTCTTAAAATAATAAATTAGTGCAAACAAAAATTATATTTGAGAACTTGAATGTGGGAGACCAGCCCGTTCTGGCGAGGGTTCCCAACGTCAAGAAACTATCATACTAAAGTACCCTTATCCTAACCTACCAGAGGACCCAAAAAACAGAAAATGAGACAGCATGTCTACTTCGCAAGCCGCTACCATTTTCCAGTACGAAGATTTTTGGCCTTGGATAAGCACCTCCAAAGGATACCTGATCAACCAGGCTGTGACTCATACGTCAGGCTGCGAGCAGCCGCGTCTAACAGCCTGGTTGATCAGTCCAGCAACCAGGAGGCCTGGTCGACGACCGGGCCGCGGGGACACTAAGCCCCGGAAGCACCTCAAGGTAGCCTCAAGGTAGCCTCAAGGTAGGTAGAGTATACGTCAAAATGCGACGTTCTATTAGGAGGACGGGTTGGTCAAAGTACGGGATGAGGTGAAAACCATCAAAAATGGGTGCAAGCTGGAGCGGCCTAATATAGCCCTACTGCCCTGCTTGCTGATGCTTATAACACCCGTTGTCGAGAAGAAGAACCCTGTACTTCGGCTTCTCGAGGTCTTGCCTACTGACCTTTTTAGGGTGGAACCCACAACGGTTGTTAACTCCCGGGTGCCTACATACTGATAGATGAACGGAGGCATCAGCTGAAAGAAGGCATCCCCAATCACTTTAGACATGGTAAATTTTTAAATTTTGCCCCTGGGGGCGAGTTTGAATCCGGATCCCACGGTTGTGAGTCAAGAATGCAGACCACTGCACTACAGGATCAGCAGCAGAACTGATCTATATGGAATCTTAAGAATGAATTAGCGCATACAAAAAATAGATATATAACTAGAATCAGTGAGGCAGTACCTTGCGGACGTCTTGGAGCTGTCGAGTGTAGACTTGTCGAGTGGAGAAGGGTCGAGTGGAGAAGGGTGGAGTATAAAAGGGTCGAGTGGAGAAGGGTAGTTGCTAGGGTGGAGTAGCCTGGCCTGCGGGTCGCTGGACACGGCCTCCCACGCCTGGTAACTAGTAAAGAGAGATTGATATCCACTAAATGTTCACGCTGTAAACACATATATATCAACTATATTGATACAGGCAACACACAAAATTATAAGGACAATGTTATTTTTCTCAGTTATTCGATGGCACAAGGTAAAAATACACTAATGTGAGCTTTACATCTTTTAGTGCAAATGTGAGAGAAATCAAAATGCAGCATGTTTAACAGTAAAACTCAAAAGTACCTAATTTCATCCTCATAGTTTCCTACCTTGTGCTTCAAACTCTCACTGTATCTTGTACTACCCACTTCCCCAAGATTAGTACTAAGACATATGGAACTAAATGCTGAATGGTACTGAATGCTGAAGGGTACATTCAGTACATTCAGCATTGTTGTGAAAACATGATGAGTTCAGTCCCTGAGCCCATTATGTGCCTTTGTATCCTTTTCCACTACCACCCACAGGATGGGTATGGGGTCCACTACCGCCCACACGATGGGTATGGGGTCCACTACCACTCACAGGATGGGTATGGGGTCCACTACCGCCCACACGATGGGTATGGGGTCCACTACCGCCCACACGATGGGTATGAGGTCCACTACCACCCACAGGATGGGTATGGGGTCCACTATCTCCCACAGGATGGGTATGGGGTCCACTACCACCCACATGATGGGTATGGGGTCAACTACCACCCACATGATGGGTATGGGGTCCACTACCACCCACAGGATGGGTATGAGGTCCACTACCACCCACATGATGGGTATGGGGTCCACTACCACCCACAGGATGGGTATGAGGTCCACTACCACCCACATGATGGGCATGGGGTCCACTACCACCCACACGATGGGTATGGGGTCCACTATCCACCACAGGATGGGTATGGGATCCACTACCGCCCACAGGATGGGTATGAGGACCACTACCGCCCACACGATGGATAACATGATGGAAGTTGCTTTCTAGCGCCTGAGGTGTTCAGGTGTCAGAAAGCTGGGAGTGAGAGAGAGCCTTCACGATGGAGATTTTGGGAGTGAAAGAAGACCTACGTAACGGAGAAGCTGAATAAAGTGCAGAAGAGCTAGGAATGCCGCGGTTGCGAGACAGGGAGAGGTCGAGACGCTACACGAGGCGATAAAGAGAGCTCGGTGAAGAACACAGTGAAGGAGTTTGTGTTATGCCTATATGACCTGAGAAGACTTACCTGAGGAACATGCTGATCATATTGAAGAAGAAGGAGAGCAACAGGAAGCATTGTATCTTTCTGGGAAGCCGAAACTGGTTCCAGCGTCTCATCTGCACCAAGTGAAGGTTTATGCAACGCCAGCTTGCACAAGTACTTCCAGTATGGCCGCTCCTGCAACACCGCTTTATATTAGTATTTCCAGGATGGCCGCTCCTGCAACACCTCCTCACAACACCAGTGGTTCTGGAGCCACTATGTGATGGTATTTGTGGTTCTGGATCCTTTATGCGACGGTGTTTGTGGTTCTGGAACCCTTATGTAAGGTGTTTATGTCCTAGGCCATCTATGTGATGGGGTTTGTGACTCTGGAACATGTGTGTGATGGGGTTTGTGACTCTGGAGCATGTGTGTGATGGGGTTTGTGGCTCTGGAGCATGCGTGTGATGGGGTTTGTGACTCTGGAACATGTGTGTGATGGGGTTTGTGGCTCTGGAGCATGTGTGTGATGGGGTTTGTGGCTCTGGAGCATGCGTGTGATGGGGTTTGTGGCTCTGGAACATGCGTGTGATGGGGTTTGTGGCTCTGGAGCATGTGTGTGATGGGGTTTGTGGCTCTGGAACATGTGTGTGATGGGGTTTGTGGCTCTGGAGCATGTGTGTGATGGGGTTTGTGGCTCTGGAGCATGTGTGTGATGGGGTTTGTGGCTCTGGAACATGTGTGTGATGGGGTTTGTGGCTCTGGAACATCCATGTTATAGTATTTGTGGTCTTAAATCCCCTATGTCATGGTGTTTTTTCTCCTAGAACCCATATGCGATGATGTTTGTGGTGATAGAACCCCTGGGATGGTGTTTGTGGTTCTAGCAGCCTTGTGTGAATGTTTTTGCAGCCGTAGTGACAAAGTGTGCACCAATCAGGTACCAGGATGCATATATTAGGTTGGTGCTCGGCAGTGTATCAGAAGTCACCAGGCCTGCCTAAATTTTAAGGTACCTTGACTGTCAGACTGCCTCTTTGAGTAGTTAATAGTGTTTAAACAAGGGTTATGAAGAGTCTCTCGGGGGGCCTCATCTGTACACACAGAGATCTTGACTGGACTGAAAATTCAGGGCCTCATCTGTATACACAGAGATCTTGACTGGGCTGAAAATTCAGGGCAAAAACCAGAATGCAATTCAATTTAACCTGTTCAATCAACAGCGCACTCTTCACACATACAGTGGAGTTTGATACACAATCCCTGTATTTTTATGTGAAACGTTATGCCCCACAGTAAATCTAGTTGGCATTGTATCTGTGACAAGCACACCTGTGGGGGCCTGGCAACACTGGCTCTGTCATCTGTAAGGATGACACCAGCAGGTGTAACTACAGTAGCAGGTGTAGCTACAGCAGATGTGTAAAAACTCTTCATTTTAATCAATAAGTGAATGTTCAGCACCAATGGAAGGGTGCTGGTGGTGGTCAGGTGCACATTATATATATAGCAGGTCAGGTTCTGAAAAGTGAGGTTACTTAACTTACTTTAAATGTAAAGTTAGACACATGCGAAGCTCTTTACGCGTCATTAGTTGACCAATTATGCACTTTTAAGAGGTGATTTTGAAAGATTTGAAACACCTGCAAATTAATTACAAGCACTTGTTGGTTACAGCGTTACAAACGTGTCAGGAAAAAGACTTCTCTCAGGGATCCAGAATTTTCTATCGTGAGAATGCTTAATTGCAATATAATTGAACTTCCTGTAACGTCATTTCAAAATCGTAATCTCACAGTAACGCTTTTCTCTACTCTACAAAATATAGTGCCTTTTCTCTAATCTATAAACTATAGTATCTTATCAAGAGAGAGATATTAAATCTGCTGTCAGATGGGCATCGGCTCTTAGAATCGGATAAGTTTGAAGTGTTTGTAGTGTGTTTTGTGGCCAATTGCATGCGTCTATAACCTTATTCTTTCTAATAAAAGACTGTTTGCCGCTATATCAAGGGGGGGGGAGGACCCCAAATAAGGTGAGCATCTATAATAATTCTTATCTAGATAAGTTAATTTGTTGAGTATCAATAATAATAACTTTAATCTGACTTTAGTTTATCACTAATAATCAGTATAAATTATCAAGCATTATCGTAGTCATCATCAAGTAATAATATTTGCCTGAATAATCAATTAATCAATATAGAATCTTGCTTGAAAAATATAAAGTTATTTGTATATTTACTATATAAAATCCCAATTATTTCCTATAACTGTTTAAGAGCTAGGCTAGGCTAGGCTAGGCTAGGCTAGGCTAGGCTAGGCTAGGCTAGGCTAGTGTGTGTACAGGGGCCAGATCTTTTAGAACTGAGCACAACCAGTTATTTCAGCAGTTATTATTAATCCTCTCTTGTTTAATATTTAATCCATTGTATTAAATACAATGATAATGTGGCTAAATACCAACAGGTACATGTTGTTTCTTCAATCAATGTCCTTGTTTGTCCTTGAGAAAAGTACCTCAACCTACAGCCCATAACAAGCACACAAGAGGAATCTTTGGCCTATGGACTTTTAAGACGGCTAAGATTGTATTATTTTGTATTTTATTTTATAGTGCATGCTTATTTTGCATGTACATATTTTTTATTCCCTATATTCTAATCAATCCCACGTATTTATCCCATATAATCAGACATCAGCAGGTATTTTTACAATGTTGTTGTTGTTGTTATAGATTCAGCTACTCGGAACAAGTTCCAAGTAGCACGGGCTATGGTGAGCCCGTAACTAACCTGGCACAGGAGCGGGGCAAGAAGCACGGGCTATGGTTAGCCTCGTGGACGGGAGATGTCTCCCGTCTGTATATTTTTACAAAGACCTGCAGTCCTTATAATTATAATACCTAATAAGATACTTTTTGCAACATCTATGAATTTAACATATATTATTATATATACTGGAAGTAAGTCCTTGTGGTGTAGTGTTGGACTTGCCGTCGCTGCGAGCACCAGGTTGAGGAAACTTTGATGCACTCATTAGTCCAACCACTTGGAATGAACGGTAGAGCGATAGCCTCGCTTCTTGCAGGTCGGCGTTCGATCCGCGACTGTCCAAGTGCTTGGGCATCATTCCTTGCCCCCCGTCTCAGCCCAGATCCTTATCCTGACCCCTTCCAAGTGCTATATGGACACACTGGTTTAGCACCTCCTCCCAGTAACTGATGTGCGGCCAGCTACCCACACTTCCATGCCAAATATTCAGGAACATAATTCACTGGTGCGGAGCGCGGCAGATATTTCACTGTCATCGCCAATGCTTAACCATACACGTGCTTCCTAATGGTACACCCATTTACTATACCCTCTCATTTAAATGTATAAATGACTATATAGAAAGCTCTTTAAGAATAGGCTGTAAGGAACGAACAATATATTAAGTGTACCAGCTGTGAGTAGCGTGGGTGGAGCCGAGGGCTGTGAAGATCCACACACACACACTGCTGCTCCGTTGACAAGCTGCTGGTGTTGTCCCTGCGGTACACTGGGCGTACAGTGGGGAACTGACTCCTCGTACTCACTACAGCTGTTAATCAGCGTCCCGATCTCCCCCCTCCCTTGAACACCTGTAAGCTCGTCTTCACTGTTCAGTGATTAGCCCGTGTGTGTGTACGGTGACTTTAACTACACTGCAGCAGTGGCATCACTGTCCACGCAGCAGTGACAGTGGTGTCACTGCTGTCAAATAGAAAGATTGGGTGATCTCATGTACCCAATGGTAACTCCCAATTGTACTCCTGATGGTAAAAAATATTTGCATAAAATGGAAATTAAGAAAATTTATGTCACAATGCTGTTGTGTTAATGACGATATATATATATATATATATATATATATATATATATATATATATATATATAGTAGGCATCCTTCAGTCTCGGGAGACTATGGAGTTGCGCCCTAGTTGTCAATCCTGGTGCAGCGCCTGGTGTGACTGATGAGGCCAATCCGAGAGTGGCAGTCCATCCCACACCGAGCACAAACGAAGTCCGATTCTGGTCTGTCTTCCTGGTTACCGGCTTTCCTTCTCTGTCTCTTTGCCTCCGATTCCTTGGCAAGTGACTCCTCGAACTTGGAGAGACCTCGTTGAACAGACTGCCTCCAGGCTGAACGGTCTGCAGCCAGTGTCTCCCATATAGCAAGATCGACGTCCATGGCTTTCAGGTCCCTTTTGCATACGTCTTTGTACCGTAGCTGGGGCTTGCCTACTGGACGCTTT